GGTTCCTACTGCAGAATCTGAGGGAAAGAGACAGCTCCGACAGAGAGAGGCTCCAAAGGCTAATTAGAGGTCAAAGTCAGTTCCGAGTGAACTGCCTCCAGGCCTGCCCTCAGAGCCCTGCTGAACTCCTCAAGCAGGGCTCCCAGGGGATTCTCTTTCACAGCCAGTCCTTCTAGCAGAAGTGAGCAAGGGCCTAAGGGGTCCCTCCTGTTCTCTGACCCCAGTGCTCTTTTGAGTCTGGACACGCAAAGGACCTGGCTTCCTTTTCTGCCGGATCAAAGCAGTCTGCAGGACCGTGGGGACAGCTCCACAGTCCCATCATTTCGACTCCTGTTGGAATGAAAGGCTGACGTGACAGACCGACTTTCATCATCACTTTCACTTCTGTTCTCCTCAGGCTTGACAGTGTCCTGGTCTCTGACTGACTGAGGGGTGACGGAGAGCTGCCGAGCTGAGGGCCAAAGAGGCAGAGGGATGTGAGGAGAACTTGGACCCCCAAAGCGGTGGGATGGTAGGAGGAGGGATCGATGAGGGAAAGATCTAGCCAGTGGCCTAGAGGAACAAGGGAAGGTTACCACACAAACAGCCCAGAGGTCAGAGAAGCAGGCTTAGCAAGGTTGTTCCTAGGCAAACAGGCGCCAGAGTCTCCTGGGGGTAGAAACTCTCTCGGCTAGAGGTTGTAGGTCAAAGCTGGTGGTCTTCCCTCAGCGTAGCTCAGAGCTCATCACAGCCCGGCCCCTGATCTCTCAGTCGCTGTGCACAGGTCATGGCGCAGCCTGTTCGCAGTCTTCACCTCCGTAACTGTCTACCTCACTCCTCCAACTCCAACTCCCGTTCCCCCACTCCCACTTCCTAGCCTTGCTTCGGTGCTAAGGTTCGGACAATCCCAAGGACATTAGCCTCAGTGTGCATCCCAGCCTTATTCCTTCCCAGCTCTGGGCCCTGGGGCAGATTCCTGCAGCTAACACAGAATCCTTTGGGGACCAAACGAGATTTCTAGGTGCCTGAGTCCCAACCACTCTTCACTATTTGACCTGAGTGAATGCCATACCCACAGAGCCATCAAGATCTGATGTGGGATCTGAGAGGTAGCTTATTCCCCCCACCCCACTGCAAAAAGCACAGTTGGTAGCAGACGTCCATGTTCTAAAGCAGGTATGTTCACCCTGTTTAGCAGCTGTGAGTACAGCCTCAACACAAAGTCATCAATGTAATTAAAGCATTATGAAGTGGGGTTTGCAATTGATTGATTGATTGATTGATTTAGTGTTTTTGTAACTTCGTTGAACAGTTCTGGAGCATGAATTTTGTAGATGACAAAGTCATGTTTCAATGTCAGGAGCCAGACAAAGGTTTAGGGTAAGGGTACTCTGAAAGTGAGAGGCCCATTGACCCCACTAGAATACAAGGCTCAGAGGAGAGGCTTCTGAGCACTTGCAAGTTAGGCACTTTCTAGATGCTGACCTGAGGTGGAGGCGGAGAGTGGGGGGGGGCTTCAAAGTCCATGTTGATGAATAGTAAAACTACAACCTAGAATTAGCCAAACATAGGATGCTGATAATGTGGACAGGACAAGATGGTGAGCTGGGATTAAGACTGGAAGAAAAGCCAGAAGCAGAGTGTTGGAGGTGGATGGTGTCCTGCTGGTCTCTTTGTCTCTGAGACTGCACTGTTAGACCTGAGCCTTGACATGGCAAGGGAGCAGAACATGGAACAGTCAGGCCGCAGTCTCACTTTCCCTCACCTAGCAGGTTCCACAGCCTTGTCCCTGTTCAGACCTCTGTACCACACCACCTCAAGGGAAGAAAAATGTGCCAGGATGCAGGGCTGCCCCTTCTCCTGAATGTGCTGCTTCAGCCCACAGCACAGGCCATGGAGACCTCCGTGGAGTCCACCACGGTTAACGAGGACTGTTGGAGCTCGGCCCTTCCTCCTCCGGCTCTCTTCCTCTTAGTCTAACCTTGCCCTGCACTCAGCACCTCACTCTTTCAGTCACTCAAAAATGGTTTCCCAGCCTGGTGGCTCAGGTCTGCAATCCCAGCCTCTCAGGAGGCTGAGGGTGGAGGACTGAAAGTTTCATGTCTGTCCGGGCCACAGAGCAAGGTAAAGGATAGCCTGGACACCCAGTGAGACTGTCTCAGAATAAAAGAACGAAAGGAAAACAAGGGGCTGGGTTAGGTCGGTAGCACATACTTTTCTAGCAAGCTTGAGACCTTAAGTTCAGTCTCAAGTCAGGGAGAGGAAAGAAAGGGGAAAGGGGGGAAGAAGGGAAGGGAAGGGAGGGGAGGGGAGCAGAGGGAATGGGATGGGAAGGGAAGGGAGGGGGAAGAGGAGTAAGGGAAGGGAAGGGAAAGGAAGGGGTACTCCATGAGTAGGTAGAAGAGGACTCCAGGACAACATAGCGCAAAAAAGCATAGCCTAGCAGAAGCCATGTTGGCGGGAAAGCCCCCTGTGATTAGGTCCTAACCACTGGGCTCTGTTTTGATTCTCATCTCCGCGCTGTGATTCACATCTAGGCAACTTTCTGCAACTTCATCCGTCTCTTTCCTTCTTCTTCAGCTTCTAAGGCGCCGCTAATCTGGCAGAGGCATCGCTTTTGAGGAAAGCACACCTGCTCTGTTGGGCCTGCTGGGGAAGAGCTGGGCTGCCCTGCCCTACAGCTCCTCTCCTCACCCCCGAACCTTCGCAGCAGGTCCCTGATGGCCAGCGTCAGCCTCCGGTCCCTGAGCTCCATCCCACAGACTAGAGTTCATGCAGAGGGAAGCGTTTTCAAACACAGACCAGAGCTGCTGGGCGAGCCGTGGACTCCTGTGCGGTATCGCCTAAAGGATGACTGTCTCCGTTTGGTTGAGAGGCTCTCTGGAGGTTTGGGCACCCCCTTGCCCCCTTGAAGGACAGTCGGGCTTGGGAGGCTGAGTCCACACTAGACAGTGAGCACCGCCCAGCAGGGTAGGCCGTGCTCAGCGCCACAGCCCCTGACGTGAGGGAGAGCTCGAAAATGTAAATCCAACAAAAAATAAAAAAAAAAGAAAAATACAGCGAGGGGCAGGGATCACAATGTGGCCCTGAAAAAGATGGAGGATTGGAACCAGTGGGGTTAGTGGCAAAGGCCTCCTTGTTCCAGAAGGTTCAAAGACAAGTTTCCCTGGGAGGGCTCATCATGTGACCACTTCTGCCCTGAGGCGAGACGAGCACAATTTTTTTTTTGAACTTTTAATTTTGGAAAAAAAATTATGGGAAAATGGCAGTCACCAGAACTAAGAGACTCCCACTGGTCCAGTGGCACCAGGGACACTGATCGGGGGCTTTACCACCTATGTCTGTTCTTTTGTGACCCTGCCAGTCTTGAGGATGAAAACACTGGCGAATGACCCTCGGTTTGGACCCCTACGGTCTTGTTTGTTTAATCGGGCTGTGTTGCGGGTTTGGGGGGGAAGTGCATGGTGGCAGAAGTTCACAGAAGCACATGTCCTATCCCTGGTGCGGCTGGTCTTGGTGAGCTGGCTAAGCGGCAATCTGTAAAGTTATCCTATACTGCTACTGTGTCTGCCTCTCATACTGTAGGCCTAGTCCCCCTCAAGTTCAAGGTAACTAGCCCTCCCATCTACAGACAAGTCAAGAGAATTCCCTCACAGTTCCAGCTCATGGTAACATTGGTTCTTTGTTGGAGTGGGCCGGTGAGGATGGAATCAGTGGCCAAGTACAAAGTAAATGACAAGCTTTGAAAGTCTTTGAAATTGTGTGTATGGGTTGGATGGTGGTGGCGTAGGCCTTTAATCCCAGCACTCAGGAGGCTGAGGTAGGCGGATCTCTGTGAGTTCAAGGCCAACCTGGTTCCAAGACAGGCTCCAAAGCTACAGAGAAATCCTGTCTTTAAAAGCCAAAAAAAATAAAAAAATTTAAAAAAAGGTATGTGTATGTGCACATGTATGGGTGTTGTTTCTCGGGAGCTGTTTTGTATTTTTTGTTCATTTTGTTTAGACATGATCTCTCACTGTAGCAAAGACCATGGAGTAGGAGAGTCTAGCTGGTCAGTGAGCCTCAGGGATCCTTCTTTCTCTACCTTCCCAGGACTGAGATTGCAAGTGTGTGCCACTAGGCCCAGGTTTTTAAACACATATGCTACTGGATCAAGCTGTCTTTACACTTCTAAAGCAAATACTTTACTGTTTAAGCTATCTCCCTAGGCCAGGTGCAAGATACTTAAAAAAAATCATTTCAAGAAAGCCTGACGTAGTGGCATGGACCTTTAACTTCAGCACTCTGGAGATATAGGTAGGAAGAGCTCTGTGTTCAAAGTCAGAATGGTCTACAAAGTGAGTTCTAGGACAACCAGGGCTACACAGAGAAACCCTGCTTGAAAAACCAAAAACCAAACCAAACCAAAACAACAACAACAACAACAAATCCTTTCAAAATATGTTATCAACTATTTATTCTTTCATTGGTTTGCCTTTCCTAACAAAGCATATCTTGGCCAAAAAGATCATTCCAGAATCAGTCCTGCCATATCACCCCTGGGATACCTGAAAAACCAGACAATTTCATTCAAAAACAAAATAAGAGAAAGCAACGGCCAGACATTGACCTTGAGTCGGACGGAGCACACACACGTTGCCGCCAACCTCACTGGACTCTGCATGGCGGCTCCAGCTGCCTTCCTTCCTAGGAGATTGGGGAGCTGGCCTCTAGCCCCACAGCTGTTCTGCATGTTCCCATCCGTCTTCTCTCACAGCCCAGGCCCGAACCTTCGCCACCCTTCCAATCTTAGAGCGTCAGACACAGAGTCTCCTCTGAATGGATGCACTTTTATAAATCCAAAGACTTCTCAGGGAACAAACAGTGGGGTGCCTTATCCATAGGCACAGCACAGAGCGCATGAATTCCATCTGTAACACCCACAGCAAAGTCCCTGCCCGTTCACGCATCCCAGAGGCCTCAGAGTGCCGTTGGTATCGTGTAGAGAAATGAACTACCCAGAACCCAGCTGAGAGACCAACCTTGTAGGACTTCAGTAGCTTCTCACCATGGCTCTTCAGATCCCAGGGTACAGGTGATTGAGGAAACCTCTAGTGGTAACCAGAAGCGCTGGTCCCAGTTAAGAAAATTCAATCCCATCCCCAGAGGGATTCTTTTCATCTCAGTCAGCGTTGGTTGCTCGTGGCTTCCTGCCAGCAGCACACAGAGGTACCTGTGTGCCCCCTGTTGTGATCAGACTTCTATGGCTGCCCCAAGGAGCTGCTCAATGTGAGCTCCACCCCCCAGCCAAGTCTTCTGGGGACTACTGACTCCTCAGCCCCAGAGGTGCCCCTGGGAAGTTCCATGGGCACCTAGCCTTCAGCCATGTTGGTCACGATGTCCCTCTGCCACCCCAAAGTTGTCTCATGGGTTTTGGTTTCACCGTGTAGCTGGTGTTTTCCCTCAGCTGGTTCAGCAGGGCCGACACACCTCCAGCTAACTCTAGGGAGTGTTTTTCAGTGGGCTCTGCCTGGGCCACCTGTGGGAACTAGGGCGGTTGTCCTCTCCAGTCCGTTGGTTTGACTGTGCTTTTAAACGATGCTAATATTAGTGAGGTCACAGGATGCTGTGACCGTTCAGTGGCAGAATGGGTGTGACTAGAGTGTGTGGAATAGATGTTTGTTAAGTACAAATCCCCCACGGTGGATAGTGCAGCAGCCAGTGCATGGTGACCCCAGAGATTCTTCAACTAACCACTCTACTTGGCAATGAAACTCAGAGAAGAAAGAGTAAGGTGACAGGGGAAGAATTGTTTCACATGGTTGGGCATGTCCTTTCCCACATCAGTCAATGGGCAAATGGGACCTAGAAGGTCTGCTGGCCCAGCAGACTTCATGGGCCGCTGATCACCTGCTCACCCAGGCATCTAAGGGAACCGGTGGGCAGATCTTCCTTTGTCCTTATGGTCTGGGAGGATGGAGTGTATCATCAGTCAGCCAGTTTCTACACCACACCCCGTAATCTGCCTCCAAATGGAGGGAGCTTCCTTTCTGGGAGTTTAGGGCTAAGACCGCGTTCACTGCAAGTCCTTGTAGAAAAGAGCTATAAGAAGTTCTTGGCAGCAGGGCTCGGAGCTCTTGGGTTCTAAGTGTTGCTGCTTCCCCCAAAGATTTGGGTTGGGGGTGGGAGTTGGATTTACGTACAGATGTTCCTATCACAGTTATTTATGACAGAGTAAACAGCTGGAGTGTTCAGCTGCAACAAACAGGCACATGTGTGTGGAAATCAGAGGAACATCACAGAAATTGTTCCTCGGGTGTCTTTTTTTTGTTTTTGTTTTTTGTTTGTTTGGCAAGTTTTCCTGTTGACTTTAAACTTGACAAACAGGGTACGGTGGCTGGCCACTGAACTCAAGAAATCCTCCTGTCTCTGTTTCCTCTGGGTTAGGATCATAAGCACACACCAGCTTTTGTTTTAAAGTGGGTTCTGCGGACCGGACTTGGCTTCTTCTGCTTGTGTAGAAAGCACTTTACCAACTGAACCATCTCCCTTGAGCAGAGAGTGTTTGGATAGCTTTCACACACTTGAACCTGAGGCTAGGAGAATACACAGGGAAGTTAGGATCCACCTTGCTCTGACACCAGTTCATCTACCCAGAGATACAGAGGGAGAGCGGGGAGAGTTGGCTGAGAAGAGATTCCAATTCGTTGGCTGTAGATTATGGCCTTTGCCTTGGTTTAGTCTGAGAAAAATGTATCCTTCTGCTTTCCACAAAAAGAGGTTGCTACACACACACACACACACACACACACACACACACACACACACACACAGGGATTCCAGTAACCACTCAGACAAGAACAAGGAAATGTTGCTGCTGGCTTCAGATGTCTGAGCAGAAGTGAAAGTTGACTTCAGCCATTTTTACCCCAATAAAGTCACAGGGCCCCTAAGAGAACTGGTGGGGACAGGACCCAGGGGAGAGATGGTAAAGGATGTCAGGTTAGATGGGGTATCCTTTGTCAGACATTGTAGAAAGTCAGGGAGCCTCAGAGAAGTCTTTTGGGGGCATGACTGAGACCAGACCCTAGGTCTGAATCTCCCGGCTCTGTGTTCAGCCTGACTGCTTCCCTCGGTCACTTTCCCCATTTATTTTTGAGCATTTGAGGCGACTTATGCAAAACTCAGGGCTCTCTTTCCATGACTCTACACCAACCTTCTGGTAGCAGCCTATCTCTAATTAAAATCAAAAGATGTGAGCAATAAAATAGTTGAGCAGGAAAAAGAGTTGCGATAATCTAACCCAAGATTCACCTCAAAGGGGTGGCACAAGACATTAGACAGCTCCCTTTGAATGGCAACAAGTATATCAGACAAAATTGTCAGCAAGACAAATACAAAGAACAACCATTCAGATCACTGGAAAATGTGCAATCATTAAGAACTTCCCTTGTGCCAGGATGGCCACTAGTCTGAGGCCTGATTGTGCTGCCTCCCTGCAATGTGCTATCTTGGATAAGGAAAATCATAGATTTGCTCATGGTGGGCTTGGTCCCAAGGCTAATGGAAACCAGTAGTGTACCAGGTAAAGGGAGCAGGTTTGGTCTGGGAGGAGGAGAAGAGAATCTGCCGTTTATAGGTTAAAGGTTATATATTCAGTTGTAGACAAGAGGTAGGAAAAACTACAACTTTCCTGGCTTAAGGTTATAGCTTTGGTTCCAGGTGGCAAAACACTCAGCCAGAATGAGAGAATCCTTCAGGCAAGGTGACTATAATGAAGTTGAGATAATAAAGTCTCTACATACACCCAGGGGATTGCTAACACAAGCATGAGTGAGGTGGTGGGTGGGGGGAGACCCAAGAGAGTGCAGCCAAAGTGAGATCAAAGAGAGACAGGAGGGCTTGTTATACAACTGTTTCTCCAACCACACCCAGCTTGGGCAGCCAAGTGTGGAGAGCTTCTTGTTCAAGATGTCTGAGCATGCTCTCTGTTCAAACGATTATCCAGCAATGCGGAAAGAGACCAGACCCTTGGGGGTCCATACTGAAAAGTAGAGTGAAAGGGTTGAGAGGTGGCCCAGTGGCTGGGTGTACTTGCTGCTCTTGCAGAGGACCTGAGTCTGGTTCCCAGCACCCATGTCTGCTGGCTCACAGTTGTACCTTCAGCTCCAGGGGATCCAGGACTTCTGGTCTCCACAGGCACCTGCACATATGCACACAGACACACATACAATTGGAAATAATGAAACATACATAATTGAAAATAATGAAAACAAATCTTAAAAAAATAAAGCAAATGCTGACACTGCCCTGTGCAGAGGCGACACTGGTCAAGTACCACGGAGGCGGCTCGGTTGGTAAACCAAGTCCAGATAAGTTCCTAAAACCAAGTATCAGGAACTTTCAGGAAAATCAAGCAAAACCAGAATCACTGAGATGCAATGACAAGTTTTCAACAAAGTGACCAGACATGAGACCAAAAAAAAAAAAAAAAAAAAAACCTGACCAGAAAACAAGGCAAAGCCATCAAAAAAAGTCCAAGGAGACTTCAAAGCAGTTATTATGGACATGTTCAGGGAGTTAAAGGGAGCTAGTCTCCAAGGTGTAAGCTGTTACATTTCATGTTAAAAGTCAGGAAATATGTGCTCTCAACAGAGAAATGGAAATTATAATAAATAAATAATAGATAAATAAATAGGCTGGGGTTATAGTGCAGGGGTTAAAGAATTTTCCTAGCATACACAGGCACTGGGTTAGACCCCCAGTGCTATAAAAAATAATAAATAATAAAGAGAATTTCTGGAACTATGAATTATCCAAACTAACCGGGAAAGCCATGAGCGAGGCCTGTACCAACAGCTGAGATTGAGAACTGACATAAAATCACATTGTAGAAATACAGGTCAGTCTCAGAGGAGACAGCTCAAAGTGTGGACCTCGGAAGCAGGAATGGTAACGGGTAGAAAGTTAAGAAAATTCTTTCTTACAGCGTGCTTTCCAAGAGAAAGAACAGCAGGGCCCCCAGTGTGGCAAGGGAACTCCTGATGTCACAGACATAGGGCAGGTCTGGGACACGGCGTGCGGAAATCTCCATACTACCTGTAAGGAGCAGCCAGGGTGCGTAACTTCAACAGCCGTCCTTGAGTCTTGTTCCTAGGCCTCGGGACCTCCACTAGGAAGCGAACATGTTTTTCAGAACTCACTGAGGTCACAGGGGGCTGCCATTTGCTTATGATGCGAGGCTGGTAACTTTCATGGCACTCTGGTCACCGTGAGGAAAGGCTTGTCTGGGGCTCATGGTTTTCAGAGAGTTGCATCCCGGCACGGTGGTGGGAGTGGTTTAGTCTCTGGTGATGCCAACCTGTGGTAGACGTCTTCCACAGGGTGCAGACCAAGAAGCTGAGAGAGTAAGGCAGAAGCAGGGCTGGGAGTAGGATTGCTGAACCAGAAGTTAAAGGGCCAGCAAGAGGTGCTTTTCCCCGAGCCAGAGGGTTTGAGTTTGTTCCCTGGGACCCACATGACAACGCCTGCAGGTTGTCTTCTGACCGCCACACATGATGGAGCAGGCACTTCCAGCCACCTAACGTGTGCACATGCTAAATAAACACATGCATATAAAAAAACCAAAAGTTAGTCTATGAAACATTATTTAGTTCCATGTATTTGTGAAATTTCTGTTTTTTACCAACTCTGGTTTTAGTCCATTGTGTTCAGAAAAGGTACTTCACACTCTTTTGAGTTTTCTTAAGCTTATTGGCTTTCTGTGACCTAAAAAACACTCCATCCCGAAGCCTTTCTGTGTGTGTCTGATGAGAATGTGCGTGCTTCTGTCACTGCTCGGTAAACTCCGTATATATGTTGCCAAGGCTCAAAAATATGTTTACAATGTTCCCGTCTGGTGCTCTAGCTGATCTTAGGGTAGGACATCAAAGCTTTCAATGACTACCGTAGAGCTCCCGTTTCCTCCTCCAGTTCTACACAGGCTTCCTTTATACATTTAGATGCTCTGATCTTAGATACAGATATAGTCCTAGTGACGACACTTTGCTGTCAGCATGTATGACTGTTTTATCTACAGCCCATTCCTCTGGGTTACCTCTTGCCTGGAACCATCTCTTCTTTCCCATTTCTAGTCCTTCATTCCAGCTTAGAAGTAATCCTCAGTTAGAAGTATTTAACGGTCTTGCTTGGTCCTTTGACGGTGTCATCTTGGTCTTCTAGGCTGCTAAGCTTCTACTAAGAAATACGCTTATAGAGTCATGGGGGTTCCCTTGTATGTGATGGCTTTCTGCCCAAGAAAGGACAGTGAGAGCTTTGGCTCTAAGGAAGCAAGTGGGGTAGCTGCTGGACAGCCCTATCAGCTTGGGATTAGCACTGGCCTTCAGAGGCAAAATTTGTCAGTGACCATAACAATAGCAAAGACGCTAGGGATCCTCCTTTTGCAACCATGGAAGGAAGTCATGACCAAGCAGAAACCTCTAGGCACTGAACTGCTATACTGGCCTGGGATTAAGACAATGTACTCAAAATGCTTTCTGGGCTCCGCTCACAGCCAGCGTCAAGTCAAGTCACTTGC